CCAGGAATCTTGCTAGACGTAAAATTTTACGCCTTAAGCGTATGTGTTAGAGAGATTACAATAATCAAAGCCACTATAACTATATTTTTGCAGTGAGAGGGTACTCCATCACGCGTATAGAAGAAGGCGAACAGTTACGACTCCTAGTAACATACTGAACGAGTTCACTGCTCACAGACCTCCTCCACCCTGTCCCCCCTCACCTGTCAGTGGTATTCACTATAATAGACAGTGCATTAAGTACTATGGATAGTATAAATGTAGCGTCCAATAACTGCGGCTGTAACAACACTATCTTGCGCCTTTTCATAAAGTCACAAGCCGTCAACTCCCATACGAGAGAATCTGTTATCATATCCAGAAACGACTAAGGAAAACGAGCACCAGTTTTATTTCAATACTAACAGACAGAATCACCTGACACTTCTGGACAGGATTATCCCGCGGAACGTCGTGCATCACACGCTCCTTCAAGGCTTCAAACTCATCACTCTGTGCTCTGAAGAAGTCAGATGTACTCAAGGAGTGGTATTGGCAACAACTGACCAAATGCTCACCTTCTTATCACAGACTCCGGAACTATGAAATATATATGCTCCAACTCGTCCCTAGAGTTAACTATCTCCACTGAGCCAATTCGGTCCTGAACGCATCGGGATACTGCAAATCAGAAAATGCCAAAATTCTCACCTGCAATCGCTCTCTCACTTTTTTCAACATCGGTGTGGTATCGTTATACACTGTCCATTTACTCGCAGCTGAGCTGTCCATCGTTACGCGCCTCGTAATTGAATCCATCAGGATCATATATCTAAACCAGAGCTCCACCACTAACAGGTCTTCCTTATGCCGTCACCTTGCCGCTAACGAGTCCTGCCCTTTATTGTTAGCTCTCTCCAACAGTTTCGTCAACATATTAGTGTCCAATGACAAAGCCATCGTATCGGCATTCAACCGCACAGTATCACTACCGTGGCCCCCTTCTAGTAGGGCCGACAGGGTATCCAATATGGCCAACTACCAATAACATGAAAATGGCGATCGATTATATATCGAAATATTTTATAAGGTCATTATATTCCAGTCTAATAGAGGGTTATATAATAGAGTTTCTCCCTAGTGATATGAAAACCACTAGTGAAAAATATATTCCACGACTACTGCATAGCGCCAAT